CTTTGGTCCGCCGGTGTTGATTTCGCCTACAGTGACGACATGGGTAGGTCATCGGAAGAGATTCAGTGTTGGAGTAGGAATATATATACCCTCACCTCAGTTGCAGGTGAAGAAGTGCTCGGATAAAAATGTACAGAAACCAACGAGAATTTTATCGGAATTTTTCCACCTGACACATGTGCATACTTTCCCACACTGAGCAACATTGGTCCTTCGATCAGGGCATACCTTCTACCAGGCCGTCTCACAAGGCAATAAATTCCTCATCAGTAATGGCTTCATTTTCGTGGCCAAATTAGTTGATAAAAGTAATACTACTACTACTACTACTACTACTACTACTACTACTACTACTACTACTACCACCACCACTATGTTTTCTACTACTTTTACTACTACTTTCCTACTACTTTTTTACTACTTTTCCTGCTACTATTTCTACTACTGTTTCTACTATTACTACTACTACTACTACTACTACTACTACTACTACTACTACTACTACTACTACTACTACTACTACGACCATTCATACCATCTTTCGTTCAGATTCCCAGAGTGTCAAGTTGATGGTGTCAGCTGACGGTGGTGAACACTTCACTGCAGCTAGGCTGCCTGTGAAACTAGAAGAGAAAAGCTACACTATACTCGACACCAGTGAAGGTAGCTTTACTAGAGCCGTACGAGGCATACCCTTTATAGGTGCTGTAATGCTTCATGTGAATCATGACTCTCCTGGCAGTGGTGGAGTCGGCAATGTCTATGTCAGTGACAAGGATGGGGTCCGATACAGTCTCAGCTTACCAAACAATGTAGGATCGTCATGGCTGGGTCATGCATCTTATTACACAACAGTTATGCATATATGAAATTTCTTCAATTTGAGAGTATGGTTAAACACTAGGCTTGATATCAGTCTAACCCACAATCTGCAGGTGAGCTTGCCTTGATCGTTGTGGCCTTGTTTAGGGGTCTCGACCCTTTTTCTGAACTCCACTTGCACTGAATTGTTCCTGGTAGTCATAACAGTGCGAACCAAACAGTTATGCATATCTAGATTTAGAGAGTATAGTTGTAGACTACGTAACGCTTCTAAAACGTTGGTGTCAATCGATTCACATCGTTATTATGTTGATATTACTCAAAGTTGAATTTCGAACTCCCGATAACTGAAGGTGTTGAAACTATACTCCATTGTAGGAGTGAACAACAGTGTAGAAATATTCCCGAACGGAATGAAGCTTTGACGATAATGTAGTGGGTGCATTTCACTATTGCAAGGTTCGAGGCAGCAATGGTGACTGTGAATTCGATAAAGTACTCTCCCTTGAAGGAGTGTACATGGCCAACTTCATGGACACTGATCTCGACAATGACGGTTACGATGAGGATATCTCCGTTGAGGGCGTGAGTTGTTGGAGTTAGCAACTTCACCAGTCTGCTCACTTTGAATCTCAGGAAACTGAGGACGCCAGTTTTGGTATGGGTCGTCAGCATGGCCGTGGGAAGGCGGGAAAGGACGAAAGC